TATGATAGTTGGTTGGTTTGTTCTTTTACGCCGCACTCAGCAATATCCCAGCTATATGACGGCGGTCTGTAAATAATCGAGTCTGGACCAGACAATCCAGTGATTGACATCATGACAAATATGAAACGTCAATCCCAGAGAATAACCAGTCTCGATTACTTACAATGGGCCACATGGCCTTGCATACTGAATAAACTGTCAGTCTGTCAGCCTGGAAACGGATTTCACTGGTTTAATAGGCAAAACAGTGGTAACATTAGAATGAGTGGGGCACTGAAAATCTGTGATGACACTAGTTGTTCGCGAAACAAAGGGTAATTTAAAAATGTATGGTTCTACTTCTAGCACACACACACACACACACACACACACACACACACACACACACACACACACACACACACACACACACACACACAAACACACCACACACACATACACACACAAACCCTCACATTCGCACGCGCGCGCGCGCACACACACACACACACACATAAACACACCACACATACACATACACACACACACCCTCACATTCGCACGCGCGCGCGCACACACACGCACACACATATACACACACACATACACACCGCCTCACATACGCACACATATACACACACACACACCACCACCACCACCACCTCATATAAACACTCTCAACTCACACACTGTGCATTAACAATTATGACTGTGTTTGTTGCCATAGACATGCCAAAGCATCTTCAATTCAATGCTGTTTTGGCTTGTGGCTGTCGAAAGAGTTCATATTTACGTTTGCAGTTTCATTCATATGAATCTCAAATCTCTTACATTGCAGTTCTAGATTTGTCAATGATCTCTCACAGCCGTCAGTCAATCTGTTCCCTTTAACATGTTTTGCTAGTCCTAGTAAATAGTGTCGCCTATCTCCATTTATCATCCAAAACTTGCTCCCACAGGAGATATCGCTTGGATGAGATCAAGCGATATCTACACTGTAGATATCGCTGCAATGAAATTACATCACAATGCTTTGCAGACCATTGTGACGTCACTGGTTACCATGACGTCACAATCAAATGACATCACTAATGGCTCTGCTACTGAAGCTGTTTGCAGTACTTTTTACACTGAAGACACTGCTAATTACTGTCTACAAATTGAAAAAGTTGAAAGAATGATGTTGGATGATAAATAAAATCTCACCCTCGTGTCTTTTGATATCAAATATATGAACACTCGTTGATAAAAGTGGCCAAAATCCTCAGCAAGGCTCGGATTTTTTCCACTTTTATCAACTCGTGTTCATATATCTGATATCAAAAGACACTCGGGTGAGATTCTCTATATCATTTATTCTCTTTCAATGTAATTTTGGGGGGAGTGGGGCAGCCTTAAATTGTGGATCGCTCGTCACGCTGAAAACTTGGGTTCCTCATACGGGTACAATGTGTGAATCTCTTTTCTGGTTTCTCCCGACGTCATATTTCAGGAATATTGTAAAACCATACTCACTCTCTGACTCAATCGAATCATTTTGTTTCTCACAGTTGAAGTATTCTGAGAAGTTTTGCGCGTATATAGGTAGATTTATAGGAAGAGATAATACCGGTCTATAGATGTAAACACATTTGTTGATACATCTGTGAGTTTAAAGTTGATTTTGACAGCCCGGGCCAAGTCGGGGCTAACACACATGACATATATTTTCTTGAGAAAATACAGTAAAAGTGTTTGACTTTAACGGACCAGTTTTCTTTAAATACGATGTACTATGACACTATAAAGTGGTATTTATGCAGATATAAGACTAGTCCATAGATGTAAACACATTTGATGATATATCTGTGAGTTGCACGTTTCGTTTTATTATTCTGCAATCCATTTTCAGTATTACCCGCTTTTTTTCTGGCCCGGCCCGCTCCGGCCCGGCCAGACTTTTCATGGCCCGGCTTTTAGGCAAATCCCGTAACCAAGCTACGAAGCACGCCGTTAGCCGGAGAGCAATTTCGTAGCTTTATAACCAGCTGGTAACCTGATTCGTCTTTGATGTCTTTTTTCCCCCTCAGTTAAAAACAGTCAATCAAGTATATGAACTTTATTTGGTCCAACATTTACTGAACAGAGATAAATCAGGTTCAATAAAATTCTGTATCGTGACAAAACATGGTGATCGAAAACCGAACGAATACTGTTGCAATCAATTGAAATGAATCATTGGTGTCATAAGCCTAAATTGTCTACATCAATTTCCTTGTTACAAAAGCATTTACGATCAATATTTTGATGATGATAATCAACAAACGATAACCAACTCACTGAAAATATTGTGTGTTGCCTTTTGACAACTGACAAGCGAACGACCAGTACGATGTCGCTGAGGACCACCTATAGCAACACCCCGTTATAGCGCGCACGTTACAGCGCCTTAATTGGAAGGGAAAAATATTTATCCGAAAATGATAAATTGATTAATTTTGGGGAATATTATAAATACCGTATTTCCTCTATTAGACGCCAGGGCTTCTATTTATTTCGGACAAGCCTTTGACCCGGCGTCAATTAGAGGCCCGGCGTCTATTGGAGGCCCGGCTTTTATTAATACCCCCATTTCACTATGACCACGAATGTCCCGAATCGTCACGAAATGGAAATATTTTGTGTTCGTAGATATCCGTATATTAGAGGCCCGGCTTCTATTTTTTGCACTGAACAATTGACCCGGCTTCTATTAGAGGTCCGGCGTCTAATAGAGGAAATACGGTACACAGAGTAAGCATCTTGCTTCAGTGTTACGGCAACAATCTAGTTTATCCAGGCGCAGCTTCGCCCGCAACCAACAGCACAACGCAGAAGAGGGATATTTTCAATGCAGTGAACATATCACTTGATATTTCACTGCAGTGAACTTAACACTTTGACGGAACTATTGTCACACAAGAGTTAACTCCCCTTAAATTAAGAGCAAGCCCGCACACAAACTGTTGACGTCCTTTTGTTAGTTCCACATTGACACGGAAATATAATGACAGATGGTCATTTATGGAGTTAATATCACTTCTTGTCGTTTGTTATTCTCTCGAAAGTGTTTCGTTATAAACTGTTAATTTCTAATTTAACTCGTCAATCGAGACTATTCGCTTCGCAAAGAGCCATATTTGTTACTTGACCAGCGTGTACTCTTTCGCTTCCAACAGCGGTCTCCTTGTTTTCAAGAATATATTTTGTTAAAGTTGATTTTGTATATAATCATATCTAAATGTATGACACAGAAATTTCGTTACCCTAAATAGTCTTTTATACTTTTGTATGCATTTTTTTAGTCTTTGAAAACACGAAATTACTCTTTTTAGTTGCAAATACAAGGGATCGTGAACAGCTCCTGTGTGTAGAGAGAATTTACGGATTTACAGTATTACATTTGTAAGGAAATAATTTAAATTTCCGGGAGAAATCTACACAAAAAGTATACAATAAATAGGATATTTCATGTGTCTCTTTCCCCCGTTACTCGATGAGACATCCTCTATTTATGAAAAAGTATCGCCTATATTATAGCATGATTTCTTGAATAACATTTTCAAAACATTTCAATAACATTTCAAGAGATAGTTTCTGGCATAACGATTCTGCAACGTGTTGAAAACATGTTAGCATCCAAAACTGGCTCCCACAGGAGATGTCGCTTGGGTGAGGTTTATAGAATAACCCACGAGGTACGAGTGATTACGGAAAATATGTCACGAGTGAAATTAATGTTTTAAGTTCCGAGCTTTAGACGTTTCAAGGAAAAAAAAACTGTCGCCGATCAAGAATCAGCTGTTTTGTATCAATCCGCGTGTGAAAAAACACTGTCCATTCAATCCAATCGCATCACTCAATTAACGTGTTTTTAAGCGTGAAAAATATATAAAGATCACATTATTGCAGTTATATTTCTGTCCGTTTTACACAGCGTACACTATCTAGCATTGATAAAGAAGACAAGTTTCCAAAAAGGTTCATCAGGTTTTTTAATCAAAGCTTGTTTTGGCAAGATCTCGTCACTGACAGACAGCCCCCGTCGTGCATAGGCAGACATGCATTTCACATTGAGAAGAGGAAACACGGAAAACCTGTCATATCTCTTATGTGTCATTTGCAAAAAATGTCAAAACCTATAACAACAACATAGACGGAATGTACATAAGTCTTGTTTGTTTGAGAAAAATTACGAAAAGAAGATAAACTTTGAAAAGTACGATTGCTGTCACAGTGTCGGAATGAATGACCCGACTTGACCCTGATATGAGACAGCCGAAACCAGGCATGACAAGAGAACCGGTTACAGTTTAATCCGGACAACAAGTTTGACTTGTCAAACACGCTTGTGGAGTGGACACAGATGACGGGAGCTGGTTGATATTTTGATGTGATTCATGATGGTCGAATACCTGTTGATAGACTAACACGGTATCTGGAGACTTGGTGCTAAGCCGTCCGCATTCACGGAGTTCATTTAGTTCAATAACGGACACAGGATCAGCTCGCTGGGGTAAGTTTTCTTTTCCTTATAATTATCCCCCGCCCCGGGGGATATAGAAATGGGTTCCGTCCGTGTGTTTGTGTGTGTGTGTGTGTGTGTGTGTGTGTGTGTGTGTGTGTGTGTGCGCGTGTGCGTGCGTGTGTGCGTCCCGAAATCGTTTCCGGAGCCTAACTCAGAAACCGTTTAATATTTCTCTACGAAACTTTGGATGTCTATCAGACTCATGCTGAACTGGTGCCTTTTGCTATTTAGGAATTTTATAAATTTTATTTTTTACGTTTCCATGGCAACAAGTTGGACTTAGGTTCTATAAGGGTGGTGTTCGTTCCCGGAGCGTAACTCAAAAACCGTTAAATAATTTTTTTACAAAACTTTGCATGTTTACCAGACACATACTGAACTGGTGCCTTTTGCTATTTAGGAGTTTTATAAATTTTTATGTTTTACATTTCCATGGCAACAAGTTGGACTTAGGTTCTATAAGGGTGCTGTTCGTTTCCGGAGCGTAACTCAAAAACCCTGGCAAAATAATGTCTAAAATACGATACTAGTTCGTTCATAAACAGTCATCAATACGTTCATCTCGTCTTTATCCCGTCTGCAGTCCGTTGGTATCAAGTTCAGATCGAGTAAAATTGCTCGTTCACCTCATGTGGAAAACCTTTCCAAGCAGTCCAAGCCCGTCCGTAGTCAGTTTAAACCCGTTTTGAACTAGTTCTACCAAGTTCCCAATACGTCCAAACCCGTTGTAACTAGTTCTCAACTCGACCATCACGTTCGCATACAGTTCACCACGTCCCAATCTCGTCGCTATTGCGTGCGGAACGTAATAGCAATCGCGTCCTGGCCCAACTGCTATAAATACCATGCGCATTGTTGCCAGTCCTCATTCGAGTTCACCGCTTCAAGATGCCTCCAAAGAGATATGCATCCAGAAAGTCGAGCCGTGTGAAAGCAGCCAGTACTACCCCAAGATCCCCAAGCCCTGATGAAGCCCATGCACATCCCCTCGGTGTTGCTGAATCTCCCGAGCCTGCCCCTGAGTGTGGGATTCAAGAGATGGAGAGAGAGGTATCCCCTGGACCCTCTGATGCCTCTGCCTCAAAGTCAGAGGATGCAGAAGATGCAGAACAGAGTCAGAAGGCCAAGAAGAAGAAAGCCAAGACCCTCACCCATCTCACCATGGACCAACAAGAAGCCATGGTTGACTGGCTCAAGGCCCATGAAGTCCTGTACAATAGGAAGCTCGAGAGCTATAAGGACACAAAGAAAAAGGGCTTCCTGTGGCAGCAGCAAGCAGAGGTGATGGGCGTGAACGTTGATGAGCTGAAGATATGGTATACCAGCCTGAGGACCCGGTTCACCAAGCTGAAGAAAAAGAAGTCTGGTGATGGTGCCCCTGATCACTCAGAGAGAGACCAATGGGTGCTCGACAACTTCTCTTTCCTGGCTCCCTTCACGTATGAAGTGAAGAAAAGGACACTAGTAAGTGAGTGAGTGAGTGAGTGAGTGAGTGAGTATGGTTTTAAGCCACTTTTAGCAATATTCCAGCAATATCACGGCGGGGGACACCGGAAAAGGGCTTCACACATTGTACCCATGTCGGGAATCGAGCCCGGGTCTTTGGCGTGACGAGCGAAAGCTTTAACCACTAGGCTACCCGACCGCCCCGACACTACTAAGTGTAAGTATATCTTACAAATACGGCATAAAGATGATGATCTGTACTGTGCTGTACATGTACTGTTTTTCTCATTGCTGCTATACCATGTAATTTGTAATTATAAAACTTTATCATTTAACTTAAGCATTTATCCATGACATAAGCTTATGACATAAAAACATGTATGTCATACCCCAATGACATAAGTATGCAAATTAGATATGCAAATTAGATAACCGGAAGAGCGAGCGGTTTGATTTGAAACTATATATTATAAGTGAAGTTACACCAGAGATGTAATCAGATTACACAGAATCGTTGTTGTTACCGTTATTAAAGTTTCAATTATTCTGCAAAAGTCTGTTCAAGTATTTTGTTTAAAATAATCCGAGGAACTTTTTTTCTCAGCGAATTGTTTATTTTGGTTTACATGGCTATGGAAAACATGTATCACTACGCACGATCTATACGTAAGATTTCGACAAGTTGCTGATGTTAATGTTTAATGCAATTATTCCTTAATTTGGAAGCAAAAATGTGAAAATGATAAATAGAATTCATCACTCGTGTTTTTTAATATGGGAAATATCAACCTCGTCCCGTTAATCGGTATTTGCCTCGCCAAAGGCTCGGCAAATACCGATTAACTAAGACTCGGTTGATATTTCCCATATTAAAAAACACTCGTGATGAATCCTCTATGTACTGTATTAGCAACATGTACTTTGTGTTACTAGTATCCTTATGATTTTTTTTCATTCTGTTGCATGTTATACTTATTATGTAGTCTTATTGTTGCAGCTCAAGTCCAAGTTACTTCTACCATCAGATACAACTCCCGACCCCATAGATGACAATGACTTCATCCCTCCCTCTGGGCAGATGGCAAGTCAGGTGTCTGACAGTCAACAGCAGGCTGCCCACAGTACAGCAGCATTCACCACCACCTCCAGATCTTCCACACCACAACCTATGCACTCTTTCACCTCTGCCGTGAGCGGCAAGATGGACCAATTCATGGAAATGCAGAATCGTGTCATGCAACAGATGGTCAGGCCAAACACAGACCGGATGAAGGAGGCGTTCATAGAATACATCAGGGAGTCTGTTTATGAAATCCACCCAGCCTTGTGGGAAGATATGCACAGAGACATAATGAAGACTGTGCTTATGTATAAGGACAGGGAAAGTCAGCTGAAGAGGGCCCAACAGCGAGCAAGAGCTACGGTTCCAGCTGAACCATGTGGGTCCTCATCTGCTTGGCAGCCACCTCCACACATGTGGCCATCCACTGTCCAGAACCCACTGAGTGTGTGGGGGTCCGCGGAGCGTGCCTGGGTTCAACAACAGTTCCCTCACGACCAGCGATTGTCCCAGCATCAGCAACAGCCACAGCAGTTCTTCCAGCCACAACAGCAAACATCCTTCTCGAGGCAGGATCGACAACAGGGCAAGCAGCAGGACATATCTGCACTCAACATCTCATCATTAACCCCCATGGCCTCCAAATCTCTCCAAGTCCACGGTGCGAACACCAGCTTCTCCTGTGGTATCAGCTCGTTCCTGGAGGGAGTGCAACAGCAGCGTCTTCAGCAGGAGGCTGAACAGGAGGAACCCCCGCAGTCTCAGGATCATAGACTTAATATTAGCAGCAGTGATTGTGACTGATAGACCTTTTGTTTTGTGCAAATGATTATGTTGCATATGATGACATGTTTTAGGATTGTCTGATCAAGAGAATGAACAGAAGCAGTGATTGTGTGTTTTGTGCGAATGATGATTGTGCAAACGATGGCTATATGATTGTCTGATACTTATTTTTGACAAAACGTTTTAATTTAAGTGTTACAAGGTGTTACCAAAAATATATAAAACAATGTTATAATTTCTTTCTGCCGTGTTTTATTCATTTTAAGTACAAGGTTACAAACAATCGTCACTACATACATTCGTGGTCACAGTCCATACAATTAACTTCCCATTTCCCTGGCCCCTCTCTTATATTTAAGGTCAACAACAAAAATCTGTCCCTCTCTAGAACATTATGAAAAGGACAATTTTCCATTTTACTGAATGTTACATGAACCTTATTTCCTTCAAATATCCAACAAAAAATGTTCATAGTTCGATCATCCTGTTCTGCCATGGCACGCGTCCTGCTAGGCTGTTGAAATAGGCTCTTAAATAGTCCCTTTGTCTCTTGGACAGAACTGTGTCTCTGTTACCCCCCTGTGGGACGTCCAAGTCTGGCAGGTTGGCATCTTGTCTTCAGGCACCTGGGAAGAGGTTATGTGCAGCATCTTCAGCATCAACTTGAACGTTCTGTATGGCTGGATTTCGGAGACGGATGCAGTTGTGAAGGCACACACAAGCTTCAATGATGTTCTGTACTGTCACTGGCATCTTTTGCATTGTTGACAGGAGGAGTCTCCATCTCTGGGCCATAATGCCAAAGGCATTTTCAACCACACGTCTGGCTCTAGAGGTCCTGTAGTTTGCAATCATTTCTTCTCTTGTCAGTTGACGGCCTGAGTACAGCTTCATGAGGTATGTGCGAATGCCAAAAGCATCATCTCCCAGCATTAAATAGGGTTGGTTGGTTGGTTTGTTGTTTAACGCCGCACTCAGCAATATTCCAGCTATATGACGGCGGTCTGTAAACAATCGAGTCTGGACCAGACAATCCAGTGATTGGCATCATGAGCATCGATCCACGCAATTGGGATCGATGACATGTATCATCCAAGTCAGCGAGCCTGACCACCCGATCCCGTTAGTCGCCTTTTACTACAAGCATAGTCACCTTTTACGGCAAGCATGGGTTGCTGAAGATCTATTCTACCCCAGATTTTCACAGGTCAGGGAGAGTCCTTGACATCATTTGGCAAGGTTGAAGGTGGAGGGAATCCAATGGAGCCATCTACTAAGCATTCTTTCAGTTCTGACTGGTTGTAGATCTGGGCATCAGACTGGCTTCCAACACCACCAACAACTATCCACAGGAATTTGTAGTCAGCATCTACCAGGGCCATGAGGACGACTGAAAAGAAGCCTTTGTAGTTGCGGTACATGGTTCCAGTCTTGGGAGGTTTTCTGATTGTCACATGTTTCCCATCCAGGGCATCACAGTCATGTGGAACATTCCAGCGCATCAGGAACTCCTCAGCAACGTCTTCCCAAGTGTCTCTGTCACCAGGGCATGTGATGACTTCATTTTTGAGCACCAATGCCTCACAGACTTCTTTCACCAACAAGCAGATTGTATTTCTGGCAACCCAGAACTCATATTGCAGGGTGGCATAGGAATCTCCTGTTGCAGGTGACGCAGTGTGATGGCAAGCTTCACCCCTTGTTCCAGAGCCTTTCTGTAGTTGGTGTCTTCTTTTTGTATGAAGGAGGCGATGCGTTCAAGAATTTCATCAAACATGGGTGGGGTGATTCTCAAGAAGTTGTAGAAGGACTCTGGATCATCCAGGCGGAGCTCCTTCATCAGCTGATGATAATGTCCCACGGCAATTCCCCTCTCAGGTTTCTGCCAGTTCCTCACCCAACAGGATCTTGGTCCTTTGCCTCCTTCTTTCTTGCTCTACCATCCCATTGTTCTCTTGCTCTGCTTCCAACAAAATGTGCATGAAACCAGCATTCAACATGTTAAGGGCTACACATTTATCCATGGTTCTTCAAGCTAGGCACAGATGTGCACTGCCAGAAATCGATGAACCAGTGAGAAAAGGGCTGTATTGATACCCTACCTTGTCCTATCGTACTGCAGACGGTGAATGAGTGAGTGAGTATGGTTTTACGCCGCTTTTAGCAATATTCCAGCAACATCACGGCGGGGGACACCAGAAATGGGCTTCACACATTGTACCCATGTCGGGAATCGAACCCGGGTCTTTGGCGTGACGAGCGAACGCTTTAACCACTAGGCTACCCAACCGCCCCGCAAACCTTTAGAACCGTGTAAAAACGTGCTGCCAACTCCTTCAGGACTTCATATTTTGTTTTTAACGCACTTGCACGGAATAATGACTGACTAAGGACGTAATTCCGTCGAATTGGGTCTGTCTGCGAACGGGAAGAACTAGCTACAAACGAACCCGGTCGGTATGCACTCGTACAGCAATTGATGCCCGACTGCACCACGTCGTAACACGTCCCTAGTAGGATCGAAGAACGGCAATTCAGTTCGTAGTACGTACATCTCGTTTTGGGTACGCTGTCACTCCATCTAATGGTAGGACGGGTTGGCCTCAAGACAATTTTGAGCAGGCTTGAAGTTCTGGAGCACCTTTCTCGTCCGAGCCCGTCCATGAAGTTCGTACTAAGACCGTAATCAGTTGCTACTGCGTCCACTCCGTTCGCACACAGTTTGAGCCCAATTGGCAACATTTTGAAGAACGTAGTGAGAACTAGTTTGGTGTGATGGGGGTATTAGGTAACACTCTATCCTACCCTTCATCTCCTTCAAAATGGACAGTTCGAATTCTGAACTGTCTGATGTGCATGCCGAAATGATAAATTTGCAAAGAATAAAGTTTAGTTGCACTCTAATGTGTCATTAACCCTCATAGTCATATATGGTGCCCGGACGTCAGTCAGCCTGCGTACCGCTCACGGCGCTCAGCGCCGTACTGTGCAGACGTCGCGGTTACAAAAAACGTATACATTGTATAAAAAAAGTGTCGCGTTCTTGTTTATTCACACAACGTTACAAAATTCTACGAAAAAAATGATGTCTTTCGGAAAGTCTAAATGATGTTGCAAAATGAATTTGTTTTTATTCTCATGCCATCGTTGAAAGTATGAGTAGTCATATATGTTTCGTGTTTTTCTTTCCTGTATAAATTTGTGAACAAAGTTCATGTCAACTTGTCAAGTTTAGTCTTTTTCATTGTGTTTTCATTTCCATTGGCAGTTATCGATGTCATCATCGTTCACAAAGGCAAACCTGTCTGTACAAATTCCGGTTTTTGGATTCGGGTGGTCGAAAAGTTCATCAAACAGCAAGCCCTCTAACACAGACGCAAACCCGGACTTGGTGGTGATGATCTTGGCGCCCTAGAATCAGTTGGAACTTCAATCTGGCCAGATGCAGTTTTGACAACAAAAACATTAAATGTGTTCAGAGGTTGAATTATATGAATAACTCTTCATGTCAGTCAGATCTCAGTCTGCTTTAACGAGGTCATTTACTTTGACAGGTGTCACATGGCCAGCCATGTTTGTTTACAAACGGGGACGTAGTTTTGGTTTTTACTGTAAAATGAAAGTCGTGTGAAATAAATGAAATAATAATAATGTGAAATCATGTTGTTGATACGAAATTATGTGTCTTGTCTTAAAAATCTCGAATCAGTGAGATTGTAGCACCAAAAACATCTGAAGGGAAAGCCGTGGATTTCACTCTCCTACCCAGAGTTCCATGCGGCCGGCAGCCAGCCAGAATAGTACCTCGTGCCCCCTTGTTGAAAATAGGTTATCAGGCACTTCATATATACGAATATATACTTCAATACCTAAAGGATATAGAGATTCTCACCCGAGTGTTTTTTTATATCGAATATCTCAGCACGAGCTGATAAAAGACACGAGGGTGAGATTTTATTTATCAACCAACATCCTTCTTCCAACTTTTTTCAGTTTGTAGACAGTAATATGCAGTGTCTTAAGTGTAAAGGTACTGCTACCAGCTTCAGCAGCACAGCCATTAGTGATGTCATTTGATTGTGATGTCATGGTAACCAACGACGTCACATTGGTCTGCAAAGCATTGTGATGCAATTTCATTGCAGCGATATCTACAGTGTAGATATGGCTTCATCTCACCCAAGCAATATCTCCTGTGGGTGCCAGTTTTGGATGATGATTAAGAATTGACCTTCACTTTGTGTGAGTTCATTGGAGTATGAACCTTCATAGAGTGAGGGCCAAACTGTATATACTCCAATGAACTCACTCAAAGTGAAAGTCAATTCTTATAAAACAATTATCACAATTTCTTACCTCAAAGGATGTAGGCCAAGATCTAAACACAATTTTATTTAGTACGTGTGACTTCATGTTTACACTGACAGCCATACAACAACCAGCTATACCGCGGAATAAAATAGTTCCTCAAAAAGAGAGGTGACATGAGCGTATGGATGCATAACTTGCTCTTCAGAGACATCTTACACAACACATGTGTTCAAATAATATTACCATTAGAAGAGAAAGGTCTGTAAAGAAATACCTCAGTAAGTCAGTCACAATGACAGCGCGTCGTAATACATTTACATCAAGTACAAGACGTTAAAATGGCCGACACGATAAACGTGACGGGAGAGATTTCCGAAGTTGTTAATGAACCTGTGGCGGTTACATATGTTAGTCATCATTGATCAACTGGCCGATTATTGAAATTCATAGATTGCTGGAGACGGTCACTGTCAGCCTAGACACGGATCGAGTCGATACTACGATAGTTTGGATGTGCATTTCTTCGTTTGCTCATTAGGATGGGCCGTAGCGAGGATATTTGTGAACAATTATGCAGTCAAGCTCTCTGACTTTTCTCAATGCATACTGAAACGCTGAGACCAAGATTATAGGTTCTAAAAGATCAGAAAGAACGCTTATGTATGTTTTCGTGCTCGCGAATTCCCAGAGTTTTCCCCAGGAATGTGGAAGTAGTTCGTCAGTGTTTACGTCATTTCAAGAACACAGTCTCGTGAAAAATGTATGAACGTCAAATTGTGTCGTTCATACACTTATGAACGTCAATTTCACGGTCATGTGACCGACCTCTCGTCCAATGGAAAAGCCGTATATCGTGTAAACTTCAAATTAATATTTTTTTAAATAATAACACCACAACACTACTACTACGAGTGAGCAATCCTGGTCTTAGAACGATTTACCACTTTGGTGAAACCCACGAGCACGGGTATGGTGCTGACAAACCTGGAAACATAATCGGGGCGAACTGGGTTTCGAACCCGCAAGCCTGATGCACACTCGATAATTTACAGGACCCCGTTTTACGCCTGATAATCAACATTCACTCACTCACCCCAGCTGTTCTATTTATATTGTTTACTATCAAGATGATTCGCCCGCCTTCGACCGGTCCACGCATTATGTTAAGTATCGAGGAAAACATTCAGTGTATTGAATCAAGCTATTTAACTTTGTCATACTGCGAATGTGACTATTTATTATTCCTCGACCTGAAAGGCCGCGGGTATGTAGTGTACAAATGAATTCCACTTATCTGTCCGTCACTCCATCCATCCAGATTTTTTCCTGTCCGACCTATAACTTGAATTGTACTGCGAATATTCTTTTCAAACTTGGTTTACACCTTCCATTACCAATAGGATAGGTGCAGTGCAAAGTTTGTTTTTAATATTTGAATTTTCTAAACGAATACATCCTTTCTTAAAAATGTTTACTTGGAATTTGTTTACTTAAATATTTGTTCGACCTATAACTTGAAAACTACCGCATGCATTTTTTCAAGGAACAGTTTCGATACCAACAGGAGAGGTGCAGTGCAAAAGTTTATTTTATAGGTGTATTTTCTGAAAAAGAATTTGCTTCATGTTTTGTAGTAAGAATATTATATTTTACTGCAACATTTGTGCGACCTTCATGGATTATTTTCCAATTAGGGGTACAGTTTCTATAGCCATAGGAGAAGTGCAGTGCATAGTCTTATTTTGATATGTGTATTTTCTGAAATTCTGAATAAGTTCAAACCATCAGGTCGAGGTTGGGGAATGAGTGATCCCTGCTCACTGTTTGCCCTGTTAGGATGTAATATGCTGTACTCAATATATGTGCTTATGTATAATTAATGTGGGTTGTGGTTTAAGGAAAATGCTGCCATCTTGAAATCGATTATCGACCCCCTAGTTCACCATACACAGAGTTGATGTAATGAGTTCTTAAAGTCATACTGCTTCAAAATTAAATGAATAAAACATCATTGACCATCTCTTTCTTTCTAATTTGATGGTTTTACAAGCATATACATGGAACGATTAACCATTGTTTCATAGAGCTTGAATATCCTTTATTTGACGCGTATATAGTTAAGTATTTTAGATTATGCCCCCATATTGAACACCACTTCTACAACTTTTACTTCACAGGATATGCAGTTTAAACAAGCAGCCCTCCAACAAATCTGACCAATGTCTTCCGTTTTTATGTTATGGTATCAATGTTTAGTTTCAACTCTGTTTTGAAAACTGGTATTGTTATATTATATGAACATTAGGAAGTTCGTGAGTGAGTACGCTGCATCCAGCTTACAACGGGAGAAAACCCTAAAGTGCCAATGTCGTTTGCATTTAGGATGAAAACAATGACTCCGAAAAGGGTGCTATCAACTCAAGAAAAAAGTCAGGGTGATGTGTGGGTACGCATGTCGAAGTACATGTATGTTACTAAGCATAGCAAGACACACAACAAGAAACGAAATTATTATATTTTTGATGATTA